TTTATCAAATGCCTTCTAAAAGTTCAGTGAATCCAGCAGTTCTCCTTAATCCACAGTAAATGGTACTTCCTCAAAGAACTCCAAAAGATTGTATTACAACTGTGATAATAGGAATGCACTTGTAATCAAGCTTCATTAGACCAGTTGACCATAAATAATAGCAGCAGAAGTAGGTTGTGCAGTCCCTCGAGCATGCTCCACCATTCAATAGGATTCCTCATGTCCACTTTCCTGCACTTTTCCTATAGCCCTTGACTTTCCATCTGATCAAGAGTCTATCTATCTCAGCCTTACATATGCACAAGGACTCTGCCCCCAAGATCTCTTTGGCAAAGCATTCCAAAGACTCCAGCGACTGTTCTGAGGAGTTTTTTTCTTCAACTTGAAAAGTAACTACTGGTGTGAAACTTACAAAGTGCAAATCAGAAAAGTGAGTTGGCAGACATATGATTAATTTGAGTAAACCATGTCATAAGCACGTTTCCTCAGGACATCTTGTGAAAAATCAATGTTTAACACGTCCTGTGTTCCTGCCAGTCTGCTCAGGACAAAGCCTCAATAATGAGGTTATTTCTTCAAATAAAGACAGTACAATTGATTTGATTTTGATTGATCTGATTTATTATTGTGGGTTTGAGCTTTAGCAAGAGGCTGAATAGGCTGGAAGTATTTTCCCTGGAGTGTCAGAGGCTGAGGGGTGACCTTATACTGGTTTATAAAATCATGAAGGCCATGGATAGGGTGAATAGCCAAGGTCTTTTCCCTGGGATGGGGGGAGTCCAAAACTAGATGGCATAGGTTTAAGGTGAGAGGGGAAAAATTTAAAAGACACCTAAAGGGGAACTTTTTCACACAGAGGATGGTGCCTGTGTGGAACAGGTTGCCAGAGGAAGTGGTGGAGGCTGGTACAATTACAACATTTAAAAGGCATTTGGATGGATATATGAATAGGAAGGGTTTACAGGGATATGAGCCAAATGCAGGCAAATGGGACTAGATTACTTTAGAATATCTGGTCAGCATGGACAAGTTGGACCAAAGAGTCTGTTTCCATGCTGTACAGCTCAATGACTCTGTCTATCCAGATACAGTGAAAAGTATTGTTTTACATACCTTACATAAGTACATCAGGGTAATAGAACAGAATACAGATGAAGTATTACAGCTACAGACAAGATGCACAGAAAGATCAACTGATATATGAGGGGTCCATTCATAAGTCTGATAACAGCAGGGAAGAACTTGCTCTTAAATCTGTTAGTACATATATTCAAACCTTTGCCTGATAGAGGAGGGTGGCAGAGAGAATAATTTAATTGGGATAGGTGCTCCTTGTTCCAAGCTGACCGTTATTTGAAGTGTTTGAGCTCTTTCTGTATAGGGGTGACTGGATGCTGTCTGGTGCTATTTACAGTGACAATGACTTCTGTTTCTTACATAGATGATCTGGCTTCTCATTCTGTGTCATTGTAATTTCCTAAGTGATCTTTTATTAATATATGAAGCCCGTTGTGAGAGTGTCATCCCACCTGTGCTGCTGAACATTTGAATAAAAAGACGCTGCGTTGAGTGTCGGTTTAAAATACTTCACAACAGAATAGTGACTGGAGAATGGAGACGGATGAGCACCTTTTTAAACGACCCCACAGTTAGACCAAAGCCCGAATAAACCTCGAAGTCCGCCGATGCGAGTCAAACTCCCAGCTGTCGGTTAGCGGTTGGAAGAAACGCGTATCATTCAGTATTTATTGTTACGAAGCGTTCACTTTGGTTGGAATTAAAGAGGCGTACCGCTGAAAGGAAATAGCCCGAGCAATGGCAACAGAAAATAAATTTGAATTCGAGTGGGCTCCAGCAAATGGTTGACTAGCCGCCTGCTAAAGAATCCAAACACAATGCTAGGTGAAATGGTCCTATTAGAATTAAACAGTTATGTTCACCCACAAAATGTTAAAGTTGGGAAGGCGATGGGTCTTTTGGTTTTTGGACATAGCAGCGTGTTGAGAAAGTTAATGGAGTTTGTTAAAAAGAAATCGATCGAAGGTGAAGAGCTTGCGAGAACAATTGAAGCGGAAGATAACTAGATGAAAGAGATATGTTTGTAGATTAGAGTTAGGAGCATCATAGTAATCTGTTCTGACGCAAATGCAGACTACGCCTTTTCTTCTGGTTCCTTCAATATGTCAAACCTGCTGGCAAATAGACATGACAAATAAGAAGCTCACCCACAAGCTATATGATACCAGAGAGGAAAGTGTTTCGAAGAGGTAGACAGTCATTTAGAAGGGAAACAGTTTTCTGAATAAAAAATAAACAAACTTACTTATGTGGACAAGGAAGTTTTTTTAATACTTTACTGGGGGTAATAAATCATTTCTGTTTTTGATTTTTTTTGAGTACAAGTCGCTGAACTAATTAACAGAAATAGAAATTGCTGGATAATTTCAGCAGGTCCGGCAGAATCTGCTGAGAGAAATCGGATTTCAAGCGCGAGCATTTTTCCGCTTTCCCCCACTGAGCTAAACGTTAACCCTCTGTAGTCTGCTCCTGAACCTGTATTTACTCCTTATTTGTTAGATATTGTCTTATACGAATTTGTGTTATGGTTTATGTTAAGAAACTTTAAATGCGCTTAGGTGTTAACTAGCTGCTTCCTCGGACTTTGAGATCGGGAGATACATTTCACACCCTGTGTTTATAACTAAATAAGAGTTCATATTTCGCAAGCGCCCGGGAAACGTGGCTGTGATCGTGGAGTGTGGTTGTCATTTTAAACACCTGAAAAGTCAAGTGGCAAATCTAGATTGAGTAATAAGTTTTGGATTTTATCGCGTAATTATGACCCTTCCAGATAAAGATGTGGTAAAATGTAAACTGATTGGATTATCATGATATGACGTAAATCGTTAAAGAAAAAGGCTGATAAGATTTTTGTTTGGAGTCCGAAAGTTAAAGTTTTGTTTCTTAAGATCACTTTAGTATTTAATAATGTAATTTAGTAATTATATGAAAGCAAATTTTAAAAAAAGTGCAATCAAGGAGAATGTCGATTTATTTCATTTGAAGAAGGAAGAGTTTTTAGTTAAATTGTTAACTTCAGAACTTTTCAGGTTGAATAGTCAAATTTGGAATTTCGTTTCCTGGCCACAGTGAATTTTCAAATATTATTATTTTAACACGAGCGAACCTTTAACTGCAGGTGATAACGTCTGCTTGTGAAAATGCTTATCAGTGTGAACTGGTACTTAGGGTAAAATAAGGAAAGGTGGAAGAGTAATTTTCTTTTTAGATTAAAACCTCTCTGAAGAAATGTTCTAAAATCTGAGAAAACTGATATCACAGAGTTGAGACTCAAAACAAAAGGACGCTAGCATTTCAGGGCAGGCAACTATTTCTGAAGAAGAGTCCAGATCCGAAACGTCAGCTTTCCTGCTCCTCAGATGCTCCTGCTGTGTTCTTCCAGCTCTACATCTCAGTTTCTCCAACATCGGCAGTTCCTACTATCTCTAACTATTTGTTTCTTGGGAACTACGGGCGAGCAATAAATAACCCTGTTAGTGGTACCCATTTCCTATGAATAACAAGTAACGTGTGCACCCTCCCAGCCTGATCGTTAGCAACTTCTTTGTCTGTCCAACTGTCTCTCTCTCTCTTCGGGCTCTATCCTATCGTTTACTCCCTACCCCACCCACCTCCCTATTTTCTGCATATAAACTGACGTTTTCCCAGCCACCATCAGTTCTGAGGAAGGGTCACCGGACCCGAAACGTTAACTCTGTTTTCTCCTTCACAGATGCCACCAGACCTGCTGAGCTTTTCCAGCAACTTTGTTTTTGTTCCTGGTTTACAGTTCTTTTGGTTTTTAACGTGTGCAGTAGACCCATGTGAATTGTAAAATTCCTGTTGGACATTATAGAAGATCTAAGTTGACGATCTGGACTGTTTCCTCTGACGATTTCAGAATTATCTTTGTACAGAAGATTTATGGGAGTTACTCAGAAAATTACAATTTGATTACTGGTGTAAGATCAGGGTAACGGGTGTTTAAAAATACAGTTTCGAAAAAGATTTTCGTGTTTAACGGAAGGGTCTCTAACTCTCCAGACTGTTTTAAAGAAAGACTTGTCTCTTTTAAAATTACCGCACAATCTGACTGCTCTAGATGTAAGCATGTAGCGCGCTGTCTTTTCTTTATATATGGTTTTAAAAATCTCTCTAATGTGTCCAGAAACAAAGGAATTGTCGTCATAGATTACAATAGAAAAGTTCCTACTGAAGTGGCTAAAATATTGCTGCTACAAGTCATCTATGCGCTAGTAAAAACTAAAGTTACCAGATTACAGTCATCAGAGAGATGACTGATGGTGGTTTCAACTGAAGGTCACTATGCCTCAAGCGACTGGCAGCTTTGAGAAAGTGGAACCTTCAATTTAATCTTAGCCAGTAGGGAAAGTGAATCCACACTGCCAGCGGTACTCTGCATTGCTGCAGGTAAACCCTGTGAGGGGAGAGAATTCCAGGATTTTGAGCCAGCGACAGTGAAGGAACGGCGATGTAACTCCGAGTCAGCATAGTGAATGGCTCGGAGGAGAACTTGCAGGGGGCGGTGTTCCTGTGTATCTGCTGCCCTTTTCCTTCTAGCTGGAAATGGTCGTGGGTTTGAAAGGTACTGTTTAAAAATCTTCTGTGAATTTGGTAATGAGGACAAAATTGCTATTCCGAGGAAGCGTCGTATCTCTAATAGATTAGAATTAGCCTTATTGTCACTAAGTTTCCTAAATCTAAGGAAAGTGAAGGATCAGGATGATAGTTGAGAACGAACAATTTTCAGAAATCCACAGGGAGTAGTTGATGTGTTTCCAGACTCGGAATATCACTGTCAAGAATTTTCCATAAGGAGTCCAGTATCTGAAGGTTCTGAGAGTGAATATGAGAAGGATAAACAGGAAGGAAGTAGTGTTCTTAGGTGGAGCCTAATGTCGGCCCGTGAGTATATTTCAGTGGCCGTGGAGTGTCAATTTGCTGACGTTATTTCGAAACTTTGAATCAAACAAAACGAAAGCCCGTTTTCTATTACCTGTTATTTTCAATTACTTGTTTTAATTGATTAGTTAATCAGAACTTTTAACGTGTGAGATTACAAGTACTTGAGCAGCAGTGATACCATTCGGAGGGAGATGTTATTACTGTGTTCCTTTCGGATTGAATAGTTCGGTAATGAAGCCGGAGACCATAAGATACTTTTATTGGTGATGCGGAGATGCCGGTGTTGGATAAAGTCAGGAGTCACACGACACCAGGTTATAGCTATTTTTATTTCTGAAGAAGGGTCTAGGCACGAAAGGTCAGCCTTCCTGCTCCTATGAAGCTGCTTGGCCTGCTGTGTTCATCCAGCTCTGCACCTTGTTATCTCAGATTCTCCAGCATCAGCAGTTCCTACTATCTCTGAACCAGTTTTATACCAGGTTATAGCCCAAGAGGTTTATTTGAAAATTGTGAAATGAATGATTTGATTGGGGGGGTGGGGAGTGTTACATTTGTACCGGGGCGCCCTTGGAGAGCGAGCACGGTGTCCCCCTGCACTCTTGAAGCTTTCAGAGGGAGCCGGGCACCGCGGGGGGAGTTGGGGTAAATTGTCCCCTTCACCAGCTCTGCTGTGATTGAGGTTCCTCTCCCCCGCCACCTTTTGTTTTACAGTTATTGTAAGCCGCCGCTGGTGGGTTTAATGATTTGAATGTTCTGAAAATAAGAAACACCTTTTTTTTAAAAAAAGAGCTGTGCCCTTTAATTGGTTGATTTTGATAAATAGATGGTGGGGTTTTTTTTAATTGAAAAAGAGCTAGGTGCTGGGGGGCTCTTGTGACACAGTGTCCTGACCTCTGAGGAAGGGTCACCAGACCCGAAACATTAACTCTCGTTTTCTCCTTCACAGATGCTGCCAGACCTTTTCCAGCAACTTCTGTTTTTGTTCCTGAACTCTGAGTTTGAAGGACAGGTTCAAGTCCCACTTGCCGCGGAGGAGTGGCACAACACATCCAAACAGGTTGAATTAAATATTTTAAAACTGAGTTATAATCTTCAAAGTCTTTCTTTAAAGTGCGGTAGGTACCAGGGATGGAGTACATTATCTCTCTCTCCACACTCCATTTTAATTTAATCCCTCCCTTTCTGATGCGCAGCAATTGCTGTAAGTCTGTCATATTTTGTTTATTTGCTGGTGGGTTTCTTTTCAAAATAAGAGCTAGGTTTTTGTGTTTGTAATTACATTAATTGGGTTATTGGTTAATGCGGTAGTGTGTTTATGAATTATTTAATAAAAGACTAGTTATTTTGCAGTGCTGTGGAGTCTGCAGACCATGTGTGTATTGTTTGTGGTAGGTTGTACCCCTGTTGACTTGTTTACAGTTCATAGTTCAGTTAAGGAACCTCCTTGCATTTCTTTGGGAACCTGGTGCGGGGGAGAATGGGCAGGTTAGACCCACATCCCGGTGTGCCTGGCTGAAATAGCAATTAATAGGGGTAGTAGGAACTGCAGATGCTGGAAAATCTGAGATAACAAGGTGTAGAGCTGGATGAACACAGCAGGCCAAGCAGCATCAGAGGAGCAGGAAGGCTGACCTTTCGGGCCTAGACACTTCTTCAGAAATGGGGGAGGGGAAGGGGGTTCTGAAATAAATAGGGAGAGAGGGGGAGGCGGATAGAGGATGGATAGAGGAGAGGATAGGTGGAGAGGAGACAGACAGGTCGAAGAGGCGGGGATGGAGCCGGTAAAGGTGAGTGTAGGTGGGGAGGTAGGGAGGGGATAGGTTAGTCCAGGGAGGATGGACAGGTCAAGGGGGCGGGATGAGGTTAGCAGGTAGGAGATGGGGGTGGGGCTTGAGGTGGGAGGAGGGGATAGGTGGGAGGGAGAACAGGTTAGGGAGGCGGGGACGAGCTGGGCTGGTTTTGGTAGGGGGAGGGGAGGTTTTGAAGCTTGTGAAAGCCACATTGATACCATTGGGCTGCAGGGTTCCCAAGCGGAATATGAGGTGCTGTTCCTGCAACCTTCGGGTGGCATCGTTGTGGCACTGCAGGAGGCCCAGGATGGATGTGTCGTCTGAGGAATGGGAGGGGGTGTTGAAATGGTTCGCGACTGGGAGGTGCAGTTGTTTAGTGCGAACCGAGGGTAGGTGTTCTGCAAAGTGGTCCCCAAGCCTTCACTTGATTTCCCCGATGTAGAGGAGGCCACAACGGGTACAGCGGATGCAGTATACCACATTAGCAGATGTGCAGGTGAACATCTGCTTGATGTGGAAAGTCTTCTTGGGGCCTGGGATGGGGGTGAGGGGGGAGGTGTCGGGGCAGATGTAGCACTTCCTGCGGTTGCAGGGAAAAGTGCCGGGTGTGATGGGGCTGGAGGGGAGTGTGGAGCTGACAAGGGAGTCACGGAGAGAGTGGTCCCTCCGGAAAGCAGATAACGGTGGGGAGGGAAAAATGTCTTTGGTGGTAGGGTCAGATTGCAGATGGCGGAAGTGTCAGAGGATGATGCATTGGATCCGGAGGTTGGTGGGGTGGTACGTGAGGACGAGGGGGATTCTGTTTTGGTTGTTATTGCAGGGAGGGGGTGTGAGGGATGAGTTGCGGGAAATGCGGGAGACATGGTCAAGGGCGTTCTCGACCACGGAGTGGGGGAAGTTGCGGTCCTTGAAAAACGAGGACATCTGAGATGTATGGGAGTGGAATGCCTCATCCTGGGAGCAGATGCGGCGGAGGTGAAGGAATTGGGAATAGGGGATGGCACTTTTGCAGGAAGGTGGGTGGGAGGAGGTGTATTCTTGGTAGCTGTGGGAGTCGGTGGGCTTGAAATGGATATCGGTTTCTAGGTGGTTGCCCGAGATGGAGACAGAGAGGTCCAGGTACGTCCTCACGTACCACCCCACCAACCTCCGGATCCAACGCATCATCCTCCGACACTTCCGCCATCTGCAATCCGACCCCACCACCAAAGACATTTTTCCCTCCCCACCCTTATCTGCTTTCCGGAGGGACCACTCTCTCTGTGACTCCCTTGTCCGCTCCACACTCCCCTCCAGCCTCAGCACACCCGGCACTTTTCCCTGCAACCGCAGGAAGTGCTACACCTGCCCCCACACGTCCCCCCTCACCCCCATCCCAGGCCCCAAGAAGACTTTCCACATCAAACAGATGTTCACCTGCACATCTGCTAATGTGGTATACTGTATCTGCTGTTCCCGTTGTGGCCTCCTCTACATCGGGGAAACCAAGCGGAGGCTTGGGGACCGCTTTGCAGAACACCTACGCTCAGTTCGCAATAAACAACTGCACCTTCCAGTTGCGAACCATTTCAACACCCCCTCCCATTCCTCAGACAACATGTCCATTCTGGGCCTCCTGCAGTGCCACAACAATGCTACCCGAAGGTTGCAGGAACAGCACCTCATATTCCGCTTGGGAACCCTGCAGCCCAATGGTATCAATGTGGATTTCACAGGCTTCAAAATCTCCCCTCCCCCTACCGCATCCCAAAACCAGCCCAGCTCGTCCCCGCCTCCCTAACCTGTTCTCCCTCCCACCTATCCCCTCCTCCCACCTCAAGCCGCACCCCCATTTCCTACCTACTAACCTCATCCTGCCCCTTTGACCTGTCCGTCCTCCCTGGACTGACCTATCTTCTCCCTACCTCCCCACCTACACTCACCTTTACTGGCTCCATCCCCGCCTCCTTGACCTGTCTGTCTCCTCTCCACCTATCTTCTCCTCTATCCATCTTCTATCCGCCTCCCACTCTCTCCCTATTCATTTCAGAACCCCGTTCCCCTCCCCCATTTCTGATGAAGGGTCTAGGCCCGAAAGGTCAGCCTTCCTGCTCCTCTGATGCTGCTTGGCCTGCTGTGTTCATCCAGCACTACACCTAGCAATTAACAGGGCCAGGCAACTGAAGGATCGTAATGCTCATCTGCCTGCCTCTCTTCCACAGCCACACCCGTGTCTGGGTGCCCTTGTCAAACATGCTCCCTGACATTTTTAGAGGGGTAAGGACATTTTCTTCCATTCCCACTATTCGATTTAGTCCTTTCCCTTGCTTCCCCCACTTTCTTGATTATTCTTCTGTTATTGTTAAACTGTTGTTTGTACTGTGTTTGTTTATTGAGCGATTTATTAATCTGGTGCTGATTTCTAAAATATTTTAAAGTTGAGATTTTTTGGTGGTGCTATGAGGATATGTATAATATTTTGTGTGTGGATGAAGGAGTAAGAAATATTTAAAAATATGAAGTGTGTGGAAAAAAGAATTAAAAGTATGAATATATAAATAGTATTGTGTGGAAAAAGGACCATAAATATATAAGTAGGTAGTGAGTGACCATGGAAAAAGGAGTAAAAACATACGAATAGTGAGTGGAAAAAGGAGTAAGCAATGCATAGACAATGAGTGTGGAAAAGACAGCAAAAATATATAAATTGTTTGTGTGTGTGGTGGGGGAGAGAAGAGTAAAAATATATAGAGTTTGTGTGGAAACGGAAGTTAATTAAAAAGTTTAAAAAAACAGTTTGTGGGTGGTTGCAAACCTTGTTTATATTATTTTGAAGACCCTTTCATTATGGTTTTAATTGCAGTTCAGCTCCATTCTTTTGATCTTTGGGCACCTAGGCCAGGAGCGGCCATGTTGGAGGATCTCCTAGTAGGCCTGTGCCTGAGCTTGGTTAATGTAGCCATTTTTATTAGGCTCACATTGTGGGTTGTAGGGACAGTATCATTCCTACCTACCTGCTTCTCTCCCATGGAGACAGAGCATGCAGTGTTCCCTAGTATCCTTTGTTACGAAATGTGCCTTTAGGAAGGATTTGTTCTGTCATGTTTCTTTTGAAAGCAAGTATTGTAAACTTGGAGGTGAGCTGTCTGGTCAGAGACCAGCTAAGAAAAAAATGAAGGGGTGGGGTCAAGCTCCCACAGAACCAGGATTTTCGTTTAACTGAGGTCTCTTGATGTTCTTTCCTCCTGGAATGGGGAATTGCATATGAGACAATCTATTTTACTGAATTTGCCTTTGGCAAGGATGAGTTTAATGGACTACATTGGAACAGTTGCTGTTTATTAGTTAAATAATCTATTATGCTGTTAAATTTTCCAGTAGAGTTAAGTTGCTCCAATTCTTCTTTTTGTTTGTATTTTAACTGGAGTAAGAGTAAATTGTTTTGCTTCAAGCCTGGTAGTTTGGCCAATTGAATTGTATCTGGAACACAGGCTTACACTTGCCTTTAATAATGAGAAATAAGTTGGGCTGTCTTCTTAATATATTTTGAGGGGGTTTGGTCTGGTCCATAACACCACTTTTCAATTGCAAGGAGAGCAAACTAGGAGTGGGGAGGTAGGGAGTGAGATGTGAAGGGTGGGGAATGGGGAGGTAGGGGGAGGGGAGGGGAGAGTGGGAGATCGTGGAGGTGGTCAAGGCTGAGATAATCAGATGTTTAGTCAGTAAAGGAATGAGGGACATGGGGTGGGAGGGTGAAGGCAGTAAAGTGGAGTTAAGGGTTATCAGATCAGCTATTGAAAGATAGAGCAGACTTGATGGGCTGAATGGTGCATGTCTGCTTCTCATGTCTTATAATCCGTTCAAGTGAAATATTATCAACAAATTTTCAAACAATCTGTCGTGATTTATGTTAAAATAACATTTTTCAGTGCATTTTCAGAACAAAGACGACTGCCAATGTGCAGCATTAGAGACAGTGAATGCTTCAACATAGTGATAATTAGAACTGTAAATAAATATCACCCAAGTAAACAAATTTGAAATGGATCAACTTAAATAAAGGTATAAATGTGTCAAAAAATAATGAAGATAAACAAATAAATATCAGGTTTAACAATGCAGTACACAGTGCGCTGATGCAGAGATATACGGAGTAATAAACAAGGAACATAACCCAAACTACCAAAAACAAAAATCATCCTGGTCTGAAAAGGGGGCTGGGGAAGCAGCCTGTAACAATATAGATGAGACTGATGGAGGCTGGAACACTAATTCTGTGTATTCCCCC